TCTGTAGTGGTATACACCGATTTCCTGAGCATGGTAAACATCTGAAAACTCTTAGAAAGCACAAAAGGACTAGCTCTGAATCAGTCTACTTAATTATATACAGGGTCTGCTCCCTCAAACAGCAGGATGTTGTAGTGTATTGGGTACCAGGTCACCGCGAGGTACATGGCAACGTGTTGGTGACCAGAAGGCTGCAATCGTCCCCGAAAACACCGCCAATACATCCATAGCTATCCCTGAACAAGACTTGCAATCTTTCCTTGAACGATAGCTAAGCTCATGGCTTATTGGCAGAGCAAATGAGGTGGGCACAATGAATATAAACTACTAGTTAGCCCTGAGTAGCACCTTAGTAAATGGCCACCAGCATCAAAGCCACGCCACACAGAAGTCACAGTGACAAGGATAACACACACAGACAAACACACACACACACGCTGACACAAACACACGCGGACACACAGACACACGCACACACACACACACACACACACACACACACACACACACACACACACACACACACACACACATACACACGCGCGCGCGCGCGCGCGCGCGGACACGGACACAAACATGCGCGCACGCACACATACGCACACGGACACACACGCGGCCACACACACACACCCACACACCCACAAACACGCACACACACACGCACACACATACACACACGCACGGACACACACACGCGGACACGGACACGCAAGCACGCACGCACGCACGCATGCACACACACAAACTCACACACATACACACACGCACACGCATACACACACACACACTAACACACACACACTAACACACACACACTAACACACACACACGCGGCCACACACACACACACACACCCACACACACAAACACGCACACACACACGCACACACATACACACACGCACAAACACACACACACACATACGGACACGGACACACAAACACGCACGCTCACACACACATACGCACGGACACACAAACACGCACACACACACACAAACACGCACACACACAAACACACACACACACGGACAAGGACACACACACGCGGACACGGACACACAAACACGCACGCAGGCACATTTGCACACACACACACACGCACACACACACACGCGGACACACACAAGCACACATGCGCGGACACACACACACAAACACGCACGCACACACACACACACACACGCGTGGACATGGACACACAAACACACACACACACACGCGGACACGGGCACACAAACACGCACGCACACGTGGGCACGGACACAATAACACGCACGCACACACATGCACAAACACACACACACGGACACACAAACACGCACACACACATACGGACACGGACACACAAACACGCACGCTCACACACACATATGCACGGACACACAAACACGCCCACACACACACACACAAACACACACACACACACGGACAAGGACACACACACGCGGACACGGACACACAAACACGCACCCAGGCACACTTGCACACACACACACGCGGACACACACAAGCACACATGCGCGGACACACACACACAAACACTCACGCACGCACGCACACACACACACGCGCGGACATGGACACACAAACACACACGCACACACACACACACACACACGCGCGCGGACACGGGCACACAAACACGCACACACACGTGGGCACGAACACATTAACACGCACGCACACACACGCACAAACACACACACACGACACACAAACACGCACACACACACGTACGGACACGGACACACAAACACGCACGCTCACACACACATACGCACTGACACACAAACACGCACACACACACACAAACACACACACACGGACAAGGACAAGGACCCACACACACGGACACGGACACACAAACACGCACGCAGGCACACTTGCACACACACACACGCACACACACACACACACGCGCGCGCGCGGACATGGACACACAAACACGCACACACACGTGGGCACGGACACATTAACACGCACGCACACACACGCACAAACACACATGCACAAACACACACACGGACACAAAAACACGCACACACACACATACGAACACGGACACACAAACACGCACGCTCACACACACATACGCACGGACACACAAACACGCACACACACACACACAAACACACACACACACGGACAAGGACACACACACGCGGACACACACACGTGGACACGGACACACAAACACGCACGCAGGCACACTTGCACACACACACACGCACACACACGCACACACACGCGCGGACACACACACACGCACACATGCGCGGACACACACACACAAACACGCACGCACACACACACACGCGCGCGGACACGGGCACACAAACACACACACACACACGTGGGCACGGACACATTAACACGCACGCACACGCACAAATACACACACACGGACACACAAACACGCACACACACATACGGACACAGACACACAAACACGCACGCTCACACACACATACGCACGGACACACAAACACGCACACACACACACAGAGACAAACACACACACGGACAAGGACACACACACGTGGACACGGACACACAAACACGCACGCAGGCACACTTGCACACACACACATGCACACACACACGGACACGCACATGCACACACGTGGACACTGACACACAAACACGCACACACACACACACACACACACACACACAACACGTTAACATGCACACACAAACACACGCGCACGCACACACACACAGACGGACACACACACACACAGACGGACAGACACACGCGGACACGGATACACAGACTGGCACGCACGTGCGCGCACACACACACACGGACACACAGACGTAGACACACACACACAAACACGCACACACACACGCACACACACACGCACGCGCGCGCGCGTGGACACAAACACACAAGCACGCACACACAAAAACACGCGCACACACACACACACACACGGACACACACACACACTTGGACACGGACACGCGGACACAGACACATAAACACGCACGCACACACACGCAGACGCACACACATACACAGAGGGACACACACACGCAGACATGGACGCACAGAAAGGCACGCACGTGCTCGTGTGCGCACACACACATATGCACACACACACATATGCACACACATACACACACACACATGGACACACACGCGGACACGGAGACACAAACACGCACGCACGTACACACGCACACAAACACACACACGCGGACACGGACGCACACACACACACACACACGGACACACACACAAACAAACACGCACGCGCGCGCACACACACACACACACACATGCACGCGCGGACCTGGACACGCGGACACAGACACACAAACACGGACGCACAAACACACACACAGACGGACACACACACACGCGAACACGGACACACAAAGACACGCACGCACACGCACTCATACATGCGGACACACACAGACACGCGGACACTCACACAAACACGCACACACACACAGATATACACACGCGGACACGGACACACAAACACGCACACACACACACATGTACACACGGATACACACACGCGGACACGGACACACAAACACGCACGCATGCACAAACACACGCACGCACACACACAGCGCACACACACACACGCAGACACACACACACACACACGCGCGCGCGCGCACACACACGCGGACACACACACGCGGACATGGACACACAAACGCGCACGCACGCGCGCGCGCACACACACACGGACACACAGACGCGGACACGGATACACAAACACGCATGCACGCGCACACAAACACACACACACGCACGCACGTACACACACACACAAACACGCACACGGACACACACATGCGGACACGGACACACAAAGACGCACACACACACACACACAGACACACACACGGACACACACACACACGGACACACACACACGCACGCACACGCACACACACACACGCACACGCACACACACACACACACACACACACACAAACGAGCACGTATGCACGCACACGCACCTACCTTCGGTCCGGTGGTGATTCACTCAAGTGCGAAACATGTGGTGAAGCACTTACCGTCCTTCACACGCTTATTCAATGCAGTAAATTATATCCCATTGGCAAGAAGCCCTTCCTATAATACATGCTGCGAGCTAACACCCCTTCATCCATTGATGCTCATGGATATAGGGATCCGCTTTTCAAGCTTGATCGATCAGGTTAGCTCAATGGCTACTTTCTGTCTATTCTATTCGGAACTTTTACTTTAGCTCATTACGTAGCCATTCTTATTTTTATTAGCAGATGAGCTAATAGCAGCCACGCCACGCGCGGTGGTGCTGCTAATACCGTGTCGAGAAACTGTTCTGTTTTTGTTCTCCTATTAAAGTGACTCTCACCCACTGTTGGGTGTAAACGATCAATTCAAAGGTTTTATAAATTTAAATCAAAATAAAGAGGGAGGAGTTTCGCTACGTAACTAGCAAATGAGGATAAAATTCAATCGTGCATTTTGGGCATTAACTGACGTAGTGTCAGTTGTCAGTATAACTGTTACCAGTCGCAACCCTTTGCACAGACGAATGTACGAGTACGTAACGGTGCATGGTTTGAAGCAGGCGACGATTGCTGTGATTCTGCTTTTAAAGGAAAAGTTTAACGGTCTTACTGTAGATGAGCGCTTTACGTGCAAACAACGAGCTACCAAAGCGCTGCGTGGCAGTGTAAAATGGATATGCTAGTGAATATCAAGACGACATATTTCCAGCCTGGCGCTGCAGTGGACAGTAGGTGGTATACCACTAGTATATTGTGAACAAACGCTTCAGTACGTGAACACATGGTCCGTGAACTCTTTTGCGTTTGGCTGTACAAGTCCGTACGTGGAAGGCTGTTTTAACGTGAATTATCGGTGCCATTTTTACCGTAGGAAGTTTGAATGTCTGCGGCTTTGAGCAGCTTGAAAAGTGCGCAGCATGGCTATCATCGGACTGCCGAAACGGAGGAGCTTGTTGGCAGGCAACGATGGCAAAGAACGTCAGTGAAGGCCCTGCAGTTGACCACACTACGGGAAAAGGTAAACCGTTCCAATTGTAAAGCTGTGTAAGCTTGGGTTAGGCAGACCCATCACTACAGGAAAACCATGACGGAGGTTTTAATGAGTAAGGTTGAAGCTGTCGTGTTCCAGGCGAGATTGATTTCAATGTACCTGCAATACCGTATGCAGAACATTGCACTAAACTATTTACTCGTTACTTTGGCATCACCTTTTATAAGTCGGGGTTGCTATGGGCCCACTAGTTTCGCAGTGATAGTGCTGATGCTTACTTCATCTTGCTGTCAGGCGATCTGATGTTATTGTGACATTTATTCTACAATCTAGACTTCAGTAGTCATAAGTAAAAAAAATAACTATTTGTTTTCTGAGTGCCAATCATCCGATTCCTGGTTTGCTGTGTCTGAAATGTAGTACTTTCATATGAATATTACTGTCAACCGGAGAACGTCGCGCGAATCCTGAAGTATTTTTGCAGAAAGTGCTCGACAAAATAAATGTTAAATTAAGTGAACTCATGAATTCTTGAACTCTACAGAGAAATCGGGCAAGCCCAACTACTGAATTAAGGCAGTGCGAGATGAAAAATGAAACTCTGCATGGTGAAGCGCAGCACGTGAAAGAGATATATTAAATGAAAAAGTATATATATATATATATATATATATATATATATATATATATATATATATATATATATATATATATATATATATAGCGGGAGAGAGAGAAACATACAAAAGATGTAAAGACACCAAAATATATAGAGACAGAAAAAACAAAAAGATTGAAAGGAAAAGAGAGGGATAGAAATAAATATGTAAATATATCGAAAGAAACGGAAGAAAGAGAACTGAACATAGGAAAATCAAGAAAGAGGAAAAATCGATACAAGAAACGAAGTGAATGAGAAATGCAGAAGAAAAAAAAGTCACAGCTTTGCCACAAAGGCGAAGCAATGAACGAGATAGCAACAAATTGTAATATCACATGCAGAATGGCAAGCAGGTCGGAACGTGCCCCGCGTTCCTCACGCACAAATGTCGCATGAAACGTACTCACAGGTACAGATGAATGCGACTAAGCGTCCTAGGGGTTACTTCGCTGTGTCTGAAAAGCGTGCCCTTTTTTTCAAATGGAGGCTGTGCAAAGATTGCAGTGACTTCTGTGCGCCCCGTAACTGCACCAGAATTGTTCCAGTGCAAGCCCAACGCCAGCCAAGACGTGTGATCCTCCCCGTCGGGAGAAAAGGGTGCGCGAGAGATCGTCCACTCCCCTCCTCTCCGCAGGCCAAAGTACGCGTGAAAGATAAGAGCCGCCACGCGCTCATTGCGCCATCTTGCTGATAATGCTGAAAACACGATAGTCCCCCCCCCCCCGCGATGCCGGCCAACAGCGGTAAGTGGTGGATATAAATAGCTTGCCGTTTGTACGTTGAAGGCGGTACCCCTCGGTGGCTCCGTTGTTAACGCCTCGCATTCACTACGCGGAGGTCCCAGGTTCCATTCCGTGTGCCGGAGTCTTTTCCGGGATTTTTGTATTTTTTGCGTTTTCGTATATGTCGATACGTATAATATACGGTGCATGGCATCGACGCCGATGCCGGCGGCGACATCCGAGAATGTCTATATAATTGCTATCGCAATAAAAAACAAACGAGGAAAGCGACCCAGGTCCGCTCTTCTTTCAGGCTTGGCACCGCTAGTGCAAAGCTACCATAATATATTTTTTTTTAAATTCTAAGCCTGGTTGTCGAACTGTCGCAGAAGCTGCTTGATGCACATGTAACACTATGTTTGTTCCAATGCAAGTGGGTGACACTGTGGGCGCAATTTCTATTTTATGCAGATGACGGATGGTTCGCTCACGCAACGTTTCCTGGGATGCGAAAATGGGCGAGACAGAACCCAGCAGTGCTGTCGACGGAAGCCAAGGGCCCGCTTTGCTTTACGGCCTGGCTACACATATCCGCCTTACGGCTTCCTTTAGTGCAGTTCAAGTCAACTGCCTATATCTATCGGTTTTTTTGGGGGAAGAGCTCGGAGGAACGGATCTTTTTACGAGGCCGAATGAGTGAAGTCGGACTCTGGCAGAAAGTGGTCTACTACGACGATCGTGAAAATGACTTAAAGGTGAGATTCGAATCGCCAATATTTATTAGTAACCACTGTGACGTGAAGCGCACTAGCCATTACAGTAGTAAATACAAAAGCACAACCGATATTAAATGACGAGTCTGTGCAATGTTATGTAAAATGGGATCAAAAACGGCGACAGGAATTTCAACACACATACACGCACACTTACAAATATACTGCACGTCAAGCAGCAGTCACTGAACGTAGAGAAATAAGAGTTACTGATTTGCGTGTTGTGTCTCAGACGGGCTTACTGCTGTTTAGATGTAGGGAGCTGGAACGTTTATATTGAAGTATTTATGTATGAATGGGACAATAAATAGTGGTACGCTGATAGGCTTTCAAGAAAAACTTCATCGAAGGCACAAATATGTTGAGTAACAATCATTACCGACAAAATACGAGTAAGAAAGTTTGAGCTTCAGTGCTAAGGTATTGGTAAAGAATGAAAGGGAGACAGCGTGGGTGAATGCCAACTGGTCGGCAGAACTCATCTAAGATATAGTGAAATAATACATGTAGACAAACATGCTGCATATACTACATTATCACAAAGTGCATTGCTTTCAACTAGACATTTTTAATAATAATAATTTGTGGAAAAGAGCTTTGAACACTTCAACACGTGTGTATGCAAAACAAACATGAGAGGTGACCGTAGAAATGACCAAGCGGAAGTCTCGTAAATGCAAGAAATATTTATTCGACTTCAGCCTCTCAGAACCTACGAACTTTCGGTGATGATTTGTTGATAGGGCATGAAGCAGAATTCGCGTAAATTGATTCAGGGCACTCTATGACAACAAACGTAAAGAGGTCGACGGAGTGTTGGTAGTTATAGGCGTACCGACATAAAAAGTATGGCCTCACGACTTTTATTTTTTGCTGAAATGTGTTGCTAGAGATGTGGTAGTCATGACTTGGCACATTGTTTGCTGCAGCGGGCAACATATAAATAATTACAGGCTCCTCTTTGCCAAATAATCTCCGTTACAGTTTAGGAGAGCACCAAAAACCACAAGCGGCCGAGTGAAACTATCACCACCTAGCGTGTGCAACTTTCAACCTCGTTTGCACATAAAACTGTGACGCAGTTGCGCATGGTCCGCATCAAGAAATTCTTTCGAACAGACAAAGGGACAGCATGCGTCTCTAGACACAAGACATTCAACGCGTGCACCGTGGCCACAATCTCTCGAGCAGCTGACGAGTAATAGTATGCTGGTGAAAACGTGGCAAAATAATAAATGGTGCCTATGACGTCATCAACTTGCTGCATATTGGTCACTTGAGGGAAGTATGGAGGTCACCAGTCACCAAGGTTCACATTTGAGGGTGTCAATAGCGCGATGAAGTGTATCGCTCATGCAAGCTTCAAAATTGATTTAAAATACCTTCCAAACTATAATCGCTGTTGATGTTGTTACGATGGGGCGTGTTTATTGAAGAACGAATGCCAAAGGGTAGCCGCGCCTACACCGAGCTGCTTCCAAACAGACCACTTCGTTCTCCTCTTCCTCCCTTCACACGTTGCCGCTTCAGCGTAGCACTCCCCCTTTCGCAGACGAAGCCCTCTGAGCGAGCATCAGTCACGAGGATGAAAGTGCTTTAGGCGGGCGACGTGAACAAGCTGCGTCTGCCTAGAAAGGTAGCCACGAGATACGAGGCGAGCGATTGAATATGTCACATCACTTAGGCGATCGACGATGACAAAAGGACCGGTGTAACGAGTCAGGAACTTCTGGTTCAGGCCACGCTTGCGAAAGGGTCTTCATAGCCATACCTTTTTCTCCTTTTTTGTACGACACGTTATTGTGCCGTGAATCATAGGCGAACATGGAGTGGTCTTGGGTTGCCAACGTACAGAGCTGACCTAGGTGACGTGCTTCCTCCATGCGGTAGAGAGTGCGATTGAAGAAGAGCAGTGTTGCTGGCATGCATCGAATCCCGATATACTCACTGATGTGGGCAATTGAAGAGTCCTCGTGCGCATAAAAAGGCAGAATGATGTCAAGAAAGTGGCGGGGTGGTCTAACATAAAAAATATAGAATGAACTGTAGCCAGAGGTTTCATGCTTTGCCATGTTATAAGCGTAGGTGATAAATGGCAAGATGTAACCCCAGTTCTTGTGCCTGGAGTCAACGTACTTCGAAAGCTTGTTGGTAAACGTTCTGTTGGTGCGCTCGAAGAGACCATTTGTCTGCGGGTGATATGAGGTCGAGTGGCGAAACTGGCAAGCACAGGGACGCAAGAGTTCTTCTACAACATCGGCTACGAATTGTCGACCACGATCACTCAGAATAATCCGAGGCTGTCCGTGGCGCAGTATCGGAGAAGAGAGGAGGAATCTCGATATGTCGATGGCCGTGGCTGTTAGTAGTGCTTTGGTTTCCACATAACGTGTAAAGTGGTCAACGCAGACTATGATCCAACGGTTGTTCTTCAATGAGTGCGGAAATGGACCGAGAAGATCCACTCTAACCATTTCGAAAGGAGATGAGGGTGACATCAAGGGGTGGAGGAGACCAACCGGGGTAGTATTTGGTCGCTTGAATTGCTGGCATTTATCACAACTGGCCACATACTTTTCTGTATTGCGTCGCATGGTAGGCCAGTACAGCAGGTGGTGGTATGTTTTGGCGAACCCCAGGTTCCCCGCTGTTGCGTCGTCGTGCATAGCATAGAGTACGCGCGTTCTCAAATTTTTGGGGACCACTAAAAGAAGGCGGGCACCACCAGCCGCGTAATTTTTTTGTAACGCAAGCTATCTCGGACGATAAAGCCATGGCTACCTATCGGTTGAGCGGCTGAGTCAAAGAGAGCATCCAAGTTGCGGTCGTCGCGCTGTTTTTTCCGGAAGGTAGCGAGGTCAGAAAAAGCAGTATCGTCGATGGCTGCTAGAAAATCGTCAAAATTGTCGGCGTCACATAGAGTGGTTGGTAGGGGAAGCCTCGAGAGACAGTCGGCGTCTGCATGAGGGTGGCCACTTTTATGGCGCAAAGTTAAATTCCTGCAAACGTAGTGCCAATTGCGTGAGGCAACCAGAAGAATCACGGAGACCAACCAACCAACATAGTGAATAGTGGTCAGTCACGATCGTGAAGTGCCGCCCATAGAGATATGGACGGGACTTATGCACAGCAGAAACCACAGCGAGGTACTCTTGTGCAGTAACGGTGTAATTCTTCTCGGCCTTGATCAACGAAAGACTGGCGTAGGCGATGACATGGTCGGCGTCATTGAAGCACTGGATGAGCATGGTGCCGAGACCGATGCCACTCGCGTCGGTGTGCCCTTCTGTCGTGCAAGACGGGTCGAAATGGAGCAGTATGGGTACAGACGTGAGAAGGAACTCAAGTTCATGAAACGAGGCATCACACTCCACTGTCCAGATGAAATTTTTATCTTTGCAAAGCAGTGAAGTCAATGCGTAGGCAAATGCGTATCAGCAAACTTGGGCACAAATCGGCGGAAGTATGAACAGAGACCCAGAAAACTCTTAGTTCGCGTCGTGACTGCGTTTTTTTGAAACAGGTAACTGCAGCAACCTTCTGAGGGTCTGGGCGCACACCATATTTGTCTACAAGATGACCAAGTACAAGTGCTTCTCGCTGACCGAAGTGCCATTTCTTAGAGTTCAGGGTAATGCAGCTTGTTCAAAGCATGTTGAAACAATGTCAAGTCGATAATTGTGTTCAGCAAAAGTGCATCCAAATATGACGATGTCGTCGAGGTAATGTAAACAAATATCCCATTTGAGACCACGCAGTACGTGTCCATAAGCCTTTCAAATGTCGCAGGGGGGTTGCACAAACAAAACTGCATGACATTTAATTCAAACAAGCCATCTGGCGTGACAAAAGCGGTTTCCTTTTTGTCGGTGGAATGCATAGGTACCTGACAATAGCCCGATCGGAGGTCCACAGATCAGAAGTAAGATGCCGAATGAAGACAGTCGATAACAGCGTCTATGCGGGGAAGTGGATACACGTCCTTTTTCATCACCGAATAATTTAGACGCCGGTAGTCGAAAAACCTCCAGGACCCATTTTTTTCGCGAAGATGACCGCTGCAGCCCAGGGGCTAGAAGAGTCTTGAATGACGCCCTTAGCCAGCATGTCTTCCACCTGTTCAGCGATCACCTTGCGCTCCGATGCAGACACACGGTATGTTTTCTGCCTTATGGGATGCGCGGACCCCGTGTCAATCCTGTGGCGAGTCCGCGTATTGGGAACACGAACTTTGGCAGCGTCCTGGGTGAAATCAAACAATGAAGCATGCCTGCTAATGACGCTGACCAGGGCTTGACGTTTCTCAGAGGGTAGTGCCTTGCTAATCATGTTCACAAACAGCGAAGAGTCTTCGGGGACACCAGGGCTAGCCTCATGCACACGGGATTCGTTCGATGTGTGATTGCTTAAGGCGTCAATATTAAGGCTCGTATCCGCTTCAAACTTGGCAAGTCGCATACCGCTTGGAAGCACAACAGACTGGTTAGACAAGTTTGACACCCACAATGTACTTGTGCCACAGTCCACAGAGACAATACAGCAAGGCACGAGCACACCCTTCTTTGCGACGATTGATGGCATCGTTGTCGTCGCTTGCAACAGTAACCTGAATGCTGGATAATGGACGGGGCGGTACGACGAAATTTTCCCAGACGGTGAGGGTGTGCGAACAAGTAGCAGGTTGGTCGGCAACAAAAGGAGAGACAAAAAGCTCGCCGGTACTGCAATCAAGAGTGGCACCGCACGGTTGCAGGAAATCTAGACCCAGAATCACATTACGCATTGATTTAGCGAGCACTGTGAATTCGGCTTGGAAGACGTTATTAGAGAAATAGACGTTCGCGGTACACACACCATGAAGTCGTAGCTATTCTCCACTCACAGCACGAAATGTGATCGCATTATCCCACTTGAACACCACCTTATGGCCTTATTGGGTTTTGAAATCTATGCTGATAACGGAGACACTTGCTCCCATGTACACTAAAGCAGTCGTTATAACATTGTCCACAGAAACACAAATCTTGTTATGACGCATGGTCACTGGTGGAGGCGTAGCGGCATGTGGGACGTCGTGGAGGAGATGGAGATCTTCGATAGCGTGAAGGTGGTGGTGTCAAGCTCCGCACAGACGCCGGTGAGTCACTGTGGTGATTCGCCCGATGGTTTGGCCTGCTGTCAAAGTCTGAGGGCCAGGTTGTCTCGTCAACGTGCTGATTGCTGTGCCCGTAGAAAGTGCGTGGTCGCCCATAGGACGGTGCTGCCGTGCGACGGCGATCGGGGCAGAATCTTGCGACATGACCACGGATGCCACAGAGAAAGCATATGGGACGTTCGCGAGGTGCGCTGATGTCAGCAGAAGGATGAATGATTCAGCCGTTCCATGCCTGATAAACGGTAGGTGGTTTTCGTGCGTATTCTTCATACAATGGGTAGTACGGACGCATAGTTTGGTTTGGCCCTCGAGGATGAGGCCTATAGTTGGAGGCGTCAAGGTGGGCGCAGGGAGGAAAAGGTTCTCGGACATTTGGTGCCGGCCGAGAAGCCGCCTCACGTAGGTCGAGCTTTTCGCGCACTACTTGACGAATCATGGACGCGAGATGCGATGGGGTTGGATGCACGTCGACGCTGGCGACATTAGTGACGTTGGGCAGGCGGCCGAACTTTGGTGTAATTCGCCGCGCTTTCAGCCCTTCAAACGTACGGCAGTGCTTGATAGCGTCACTTACATGCTCCAAAGTTTCTTTTGCGATGAGGAACTGGTAAACGTCTTCCGCGATTCCTTTTAGAAGATGACCAACCTTGTCCTCTTCTGTCATCCAGGGCTCCAGTGTCCTGCACAATTTGAGCCCCTCCTCAATATACGTCATGCAGGTTTCCCCGGGGACTTGCGCTCGTTGCATAAGAGTTTGCTCGGTACACTTCTTCTTCGTTGCCGAATCCCCAAAGCACAACTTCGATTTCATCGACGAACTTCCGCCACGTTGTGAGGCTTTCTTCATGGTTTTGAAATCATACAGATGTGGTTCCTTTGAGAAAGAGTCCCACATTATAGAGCTCGCCGGTAGCATCCCGGCCATTAAGCCCACTCACCCGTTGGTAGAAGCTGAGCCACGAGTCGACATCTTCTGCAGCTTGTCCAGCGAACGATGGAGGCTGGATGTAGGGCTGCTACGGAATGCGGGAAGTAGGTGGCTCGTAGTCATTGTTGTCGGGAGACGCCATCGCAGGTGGCAGACCAGCAAGTCGTCGGTTTCGGTGAAGCTTCACGTATTTCACCTCAGCGGTCGACGAGTCGCTTTTCGTCAGGGGCGCCGTTGTCGTACCCAGCATTTCTCACCAAAACTGTTACGATGGGGCGTGTTTATTGAAAAACGAATGGCGAAGGGCAGCCGCGTTGACACCGAGCTGCTTCCAGACTAATTTGTTCTCATCTTCCTCACTTCACACGTTGTCGCTTCAGCGTAACAATATCTTGCAGATGGCTTACGCATATTCAAGGGATTCAATCCCCTAGACTATCTCGACCGTGAAATTTTATGTCAGTATTCCTTTAACCGTTAGATTTAAATGTATTATCGCAAACGTATTTTCGGGGTAAGTTATTGCAAGCGTGTGCGTTACAGTTTAAGTATAAACAAATGACGAACTTAAAGTAATATTTCTGGCTAGCGCGAATGGTCATCCAACTCATTATATTTAGACTACTCTATCACCTATTGTGCAACGGACGCCAACGTTTTAATAAAAGCATTGTCTGTGTGGCTGCCAACTCTATACGTGGTATACTTTCTCGATACCTTTTGCTTTCACGTAACATTGCGCTGAGCAGGCTGAAAGAAAACTTTCTATGGTTTCACCAATTCTTTTTCAGTAAATAAATATAGGAGTTCCAGTTGGTGCATGCGCCAAGTGCTTATGCAGTTTAGGTACAGGCGTACTGATGAAAAATTATGAAATCTTCGCTTCTATAATATTTTAATGCTATAATTATTAAGCTGGGTGTCTTTCTTCTTTCTTTCTTTCTTTCTTTCTTTCTTCTTTCTTTCTTTTCTTCTTTTCTTTCTTTCTTTTCTTTCTTTCTATTTCTTTCTTTCTTTCTTCTTTCTTTCTTTCTTTCTTTCTTTCTTTCTTTCTTTCTTCTTTCTTTCTTTCTCTCTTTCTTTCTTTCTTCTTTCTTTCTTTCTTTCTTTCCTTCTTTCCTTCTTTTTTTTTCTTTCTTTCTTTCTTTCTTTCTTTCTTTCTTTCTTTCACGGCTTCCGATTCGCTGAGCAGAATTTTCGTTTAACGCTCGCACCTACGGTACTCGACAGTATAGAGGCTTGCCATATTTCTGGGGCCCATACCGACTTGTGGTTTTCCGCGGACAGCAAAGTTTTAACGGCCGGCCTAAAGAGGTGCACTGTTGAAAATATGGCAAACTGGCTGATGACAGCTCTCGAATGCAAATCTTGCTTGAATCAACCATGTTGTTCATATCTGAAAGTTTTCATTGTATAGTTTACTATGACGCTGTAATGGGCGTTTTTTCACCATATTCTTAGATCATCTGAAACTGCGGCTACGTTTTTGGTCATTCGACTCTTGAGCGAGTGACTTTAACTGCGAACACGTCTGTATGAACTTTTACATTTTTTAAGGAATCATGCAGATTGAAATGAAAGAAACTGTTTAGTGGCCCATTTCTTTCTCGGAACAGTGTCATTTAAGCATTTATTGATTTCTGCAGCATTCGTTTAATCTTTGTAGCACAACCACACTTATCATTTTGGAACGTCACGTAGCTATCACAAATCATTACTGTAAAATTTTTGAGAATTAACATATGTTTTCTTTGTAGAGATAGCGTTCATTGTAAAGTATATTTTATTTCACGCTTGACCACCAAGCTTGCTTGAAACGCGCAGCACAGTCACAGCGAAAGCTGAAAGAGTGGCTTTTCTACAGCCTTTTTGAAACACTCTTTGGGTAACTGCTACAAGCACACTTGCTAGATAGTGGGTACCCACGACGCCATAAATTATCATAAATTTTGTGTGGTAGAGAGAAATTAATTTGTTTGTTCGTGGCCTGTCGACTATAAGTATGACTGCTGTGCCCTTGTTCGTCATTTTTCGGAGAAGCTTGGTAATGGCTACTGATTTGCCAAAAAAATTGTGAGATTTTTTTTTTATGTTGTGGCTGACGACGATGAAGAATAAGAACTGAGTCTTCGGCAATGGGTTGGTACATTAATTCGATGACCCACGCCTTGCGCAATTCGCATTGTGTGACGCCTGATTGTTATTTTGATGATCTAAAACGCCTTATTGCTCACATTAAAGAGATTCCTTTCCCGACAGCAAGCCTACCTAGGGTCAGTTTACAATGTAGTTTCAAGCGCTGGCGTGGCTCAGCGGTAGAATAATGGACTGGCGCGATATTGGCGCAATAGTGGTTACAGACATCGGCAGCGGCGGCGGTGGACAACTATGGCGCCAAAAACAACCTTTGTGATCTCACAACAACTTTAGCTGTAAAAAATGGGTTCCCCATATGCTGCAGAACAGAAGTGATCAGATGTAATTCTACAGGCAGCAAGATTAGACCACTGATTTTACTATAGAGTACTATACACATGTGTGCAAACTTTTCTAGTTACGTTTTTCGGGTAAGTCATTGTGCTTAGACTAGAAGAAGTACGTAAAATGTGACCTTTATATTATATGCGTTTTGGGTTCTTGGCATGAAGGCAAACTGAATAAAATTGGGACCATGGAGTAAGAACAAAGTCACGAGCGTGAAAATTGTTTTTTTTTGGAGCTGACAATAGCCTAGGTAAATGTGCCAAGAAGCAGTCAGGATAAAAATGATTCAACCATCTACTCTCTAGAATTTAATGTCTGATGTAAAGGTGTCGAAGTTTTGCTTTCGTATAGTGTGCCCGGATACTTACATATCCTTAAAAACACGAAAACTACTTGCGATATGCCTTGCCGTAATCCTCCCTGCACTCAATAGCACGCGGCGAAAGCGAAAGAAAGGGTATAGAGTGTGGCAATAAAGACAAAAAAAGTAGAATGTACTTACGTTGTTTACAATGCGAAATGCTCTCACAGCGTGTAAATATTTCTGCGCTCATATTTGGGACTCACGTATGTCACTATGTCTGGACAGCAGTACACGACTCCTATCAAAAAGCCACTCTTGCTTTAGACAGAACTCATATTTTGTTATTACACTGTCAATGAAAAAAAAAACCGGCTGTGAATAACAATTTACATTGCTTTAGGTACTAATAGGGGGCGCGGGAGGACATCTGTGTGCATAAGACTTCCTGTGTGGGCTTTGTCACAACAAAGTCTCCATTTTCTGGAATTTTCCCAAATCTTAGTTTACTTCCTATATATTTTTCTTTTGGTTGGCTGCAGATCGAACTTGAGTCGTCTTTTACTGACGGCACTGTGGCAGTCGACGACCTTTCCATAACTCAAGGAAAATGTCCAGAACGTAAGTAAGACTCAGATGGTTTATCTAGCTTACATAGCCTTATCATGTCAGCGTTGTGACAACGAGGGCTCTTGGCCGTCGAGTGAGACACGTCATCATGGTCTGCGCTCACGCGACATCTCGTCTCTTTCACTCGCAAGTGAACGCTTACTGAACTTTACACGTGTTACATTTGGGGACAAAATTTGAGGACCGACTACGAATGTTAACATAGAAGTGAGACGTTCCGCTCCCACACGGGAGCCTTGCTCACAACAAATCTCAACGGTTGTCTCCATCTGGGTTTTTTGTGCATTAAAATAATAATAATAATAATAATAATAATAATAATAATAATAATAATAATACTAATAATAAATAATAATAATAATAATAATAATAAGAATAATAATAATATAATAATAAATAATAATAATAATAATATATAATAATAATAATAATAATAATCAATAATAATAATAATAATAATAATAATAATCTGCGAGATGATGGTTTTAAATATGATATTTTCTGGAAATGTTGTTATAAGTATCGTAATTAGGAGGGACAAGAATAATTTATGAATGCCCTTTATTCTTTACATATATTAGATACACACGTATTTTCTACCTCGCCGTTGCAGCTTCAGAGGAAGGCTCCTGCACGTTTGAGAATTCGAACTGCGGCTACACGAATGACCCAGGAAACCAGAAGGGGCCAAAATGGCAGCGACGACTTCCGTGGGTAAACATCTGGGACTACCACGTAGTTGATGACGATCACACAACACAAACAGAGAACGGTATGCAAGCGTTATTACTTTTGCGCTGATGGTGTAAATGTGGTGATGGTTTCCGGTAGACGTAGACTGATCGGGGCGCGAGTGAGTGCTAGCCAAATGTCACAATGACGTTCATGGCGGCGACTTTAAAGTGTGTCAACATATTCAGGTTTGTAGGTGAAGAATTGAGGGTATATCTGCATAAATTTATGAAATGTCTATGGCAAATAGCTTAAACCATTAGAATTGATATATTTATGGTTATTATGATTCAACACACAACGGTGGTCTAAAGTTACGGTGCTAGGCTTCTAACCCAAAACTGCGGGCTCAAATCCCGGTTGCGGCAGCCGCACTTTGGATGGAGGTGAAAATACTCGAGGACCGTGTAGATGTAGGTACAAGCTGTAGAAGCTCAGGTGATCAAAATTTCTAGAGACCTCCGCTGGGGCGTCGCTCATCGTCATATAGGGGTTTAGGGATGTTAAACCCTAAGAGTTATAATTTTTGTTATTTTACGTCTATTTAGAGATAGAGAGATTAAATAGGAACTTGAAGAAACACGAAAAGGTGTGTAAGGTCGTACAACATGTTCGTGAGCCATTGTAGTTTTAATGGAAACCATCACAGTTATGCACATGGTACTGTATTGTGCTCGTATTGGTCTTTTCACTTCATGTGTAGCTGGGGAGGTTACCTATATCTTAGAAATAACAAGTGCTTGACAATGGCGTTTGTACTATTACCTGATCATTCTACACTTTTGGGCAAATCACACTTTGTCTCTTATTGAATAGACGCCGAGAAAATAACGAGATGTGTCCAGTTCTGTTAATATATTTATTAGCTATTTGTCGTCTTTATGAATGCAGACGATGTCTGCATAATGCCCCTTGAGTGAGCCGTGTGCTAATTTAACACCTAGAACTTGAAATAGGAAGCTAGTGTACGTCCGCGAACATACTCAAAGCAACAACGCCATTACACACTTTACGGAACTGTCGGGGCACTTTGCTTCTACATTTTTTCAGTATTACGATTTTATATACATTTTACTATATCTTACCTCACGAAGGTGACTGCACCTCGAGCGATGCCGTGAACACAAGAGAAAAGTGTTTGCTGGTGCAATACAGTGCGGATAAATCCACATGGCGCGTTTATCTACGGATGTGCTAACTGCCAAGAAAAAAAGAAAAAAAAACACAACTTAACAACGTGAAACCTAGGGAGTGGCTAATCACGCATTGATGAGCCAGTGCTTCCTACTGGAACATGCCAATCGTTGCTAACTGGCAATGACAGAGATTGGACACAAATACCCGCAGTTGGCTTTTAGTTAATGCGCACGCTGCGAATCTTCATTGTTCGACTACGCACACGGGAATCTCTCACCGGCACTACACTTGGTCAAGATTCACTGATTATATATACGGGGTGGCCGTTGAACGGTTCTGCAGCACGAGAACTCGTTTTTTTTTGCTATTATAGAAATTTGCTAGCAGACACTGCCTGCGTCAGCGTTGTGTCTCACGGGTGAGCGTGCGGTCTGGTTCTTTGCGAGCTGGTAGTTCACCGTTGATCGCAAAAATAGCGTTTTCTTAGTTAACGCGTGCCGTTGGCTCTTTCTTGCCACACAGCGGGCCCTGAGGCTGTGGCATCCACACAAGCACTTGAACCGTCACATCAGCAGACGACGAAGCACACCGACACGTAAAGACACTAAGGTGTTTCGCCTTTAAAAGGGCAAATGTCTCGGTATATAAGACATACCGGCTATAATCACTTCTCGGCCATTTTTCCGAAACCACGTCTGTTTACGGTTTGAAGACGTCCCCTAATTTATGGCGCAACGTCGTTCCCAACGTGATATACATTTAAATATTATTAAAAAATGCCGAAGTCTGAATGTTGAAAGTTTCAATGCTTTGCTTTTAGGGCGCTTGTAGTTTGCCCATAATAGTAAAGAATTATGTGTACCGCACTCATACGGCGTATGATAGATTCTGAATTCAAGTACCATGTCACGTATAACACTTTCAGGGATACTGAAAGTCGATGACCATGAAAACCTGTCAGAATGTTAGTTTTTTGACTATGCGGCACTAGCACAAGAAAAGTTTCGCTGATCAAAAAGAAAAAAAAGAAATAGGCTGATGACTCACAATGCGGCTGCACATGAGTGAAAATTTGTATTTTTCACACACACAGTCAACACTCATATTGAGTGTGCCATCCTTTTGTCTTACTTTTTGTGCATACAAGTATGATACAGACACGTTTCATAGTACAGCTTTGCAGGTGTCTTAAAAGCAAAGTGTAAAGCAAATAAAAAACCTTTTGATTTGCATTTTATGAAAAGCAGACCTTCATACATATTTTCCGTATTCGTGATTTTTATGAAGTCGTTTTCTTGGGGGGAGGGAGGCTAAAAACCAGTTTTTTTAACGCAAGTAGCGAGTTAGCCCGCACCCCAATACAAAATTGGTATGCGTGCTTACATTCCATTCCTCAAGAAGAAGCTCTAAAAAAGCGCGCGTTTTCTTTCAGGAGTCAGCTGTGCATAATAAATTTTTGAGCAATTGCTAAGGCAGTCCGAAGACGCTGTGCGTTTTTTTATTTGTAATTGCTCTTCTGAGTGCGTCAGTTAACACTTATAGCTCCTTACTTTTTATACCTTGCGTCAATCGCGCTTGTCGATAAGGTGAGGCGCTGAAGTGATAAATTCCTTCAGTGAGCCTAAATTTCGTGGCTATTACTGCAGTTATCTTGCAAATGCGAATAAATGTCGCTGACGTATTGAGATGCTGAACAAGAAAACTCTTCATCGTCCAACTTTTAAGGCTTTGCAGCGATCGTCGAGGCGAATCGCGTGCGAGGTGACAATGGTTATGCTCTAAGGAGTATGAATATTGTTTGTGATGCAATTAGAAAAATTGTGTGAGCAAGCTCTAAGGTAGAAGAGTTGAGCTAATCATAATTGTATTGAAGAGTCTGTGGTGTCTTTGTTTGGGCACCACAGTCTTAAGGATCGCGAAACTGAGTAGCGTTTTTTTGTATGATAATGACACTATTACACGTTTTGAAATTCTGAAATCATTACGAGTGAATCTTGGCCAAAATACAGTCAATTTGCTGAAAGAAGTTGACCGCACTCGAATACACATTGCAGCTAGATCTGCACGACAGCTCCCACTAAAAGCAAGGCCAGCAACGCGATTGGCCTCAAAGAAAAAAAAAACTTTAGCAATGATTGTCAATCTCGTAGCTACTAAATAAAATAGTTCAATGGTGTTCAGAGCAAAAGACGTTTCATTTTCAGCTGTTTTCTTGATTTAAACTTGATGACCTCAAGACGATGTTTTTTTCAATAATTAGGTAGCATTTTTGCTACCTTTTCGAAGATAATTTATTGATTATTTTCACTTGTATTCTGCATAAGCACACACAATTAGTGTATCAGAATTGAAATTGTGCACTTTACAGTATTTGCGCCACAAATTCTAAAAGACGCAAATGAACTCATAATTTAGGCTCTAGCATTACAGAATTATTAAAATTGCATTATTAGTCAGATTTTAGGGAATCTGCTACAGTTAGACAGCGAAAAATTAAAAAAGGAACATATCTTATGTGCCCATCCCTTTCAATAATTGAGGACATGGTTCTTCAACATGCTGATTGATTGATTTATTTGTGGGGATTACCATCCCAAAACCATGAGAGATGCTGTAGTAGAGGGCTTCGAAAATTTCGACCATTTGGGGTTCTCTATAACATGCACCCAAACGTGAGCATATGGGCCTACAGCCTTTTCGCCTCCATCGATTTGTGGGGTTTAACGTCCCAAAATTACGATATGATTATGAGAGACGCCGTAGTGGAGGGCTCCGGAAATTTTGACCACCTGGGTTTTCGCCTCCATCGAAAATGCAGCCGTCGCATCCTGGATTTGCGGGTCAGCAGCCAAGTACCTTAGTCACTATACCACCACGTCGGAGGCTTCAACTAGGTGAAAAATGAATGGGACATATAGGGCTTACCCTGGGCCCTTAAGAGCCATTAAACTGTGGTGGGAGACAGAAAAGTTCACAATAAATTTTACAGGTTCTCCGGATCTTCACGAAGTTTATATCAGACGAGTTTTATATATGAGTTAGTGAGTGAGTTAAACAACTTGATAACGTCCACAATAGGCGCGACTTAACTCTATGTCACTTGGCTAGGCCCACTCAGTGACGGCAAAGTTAGACCTGGCCGCCTTCTCGTGAGCCCTCTGGACGGCCAGGATTTGAGAACTCAAGTCCTGGGCCTTGATGAGCTTGTTCGTTTCCTTACGGTTGAAAAAGGGACTGACAAAGGCACAACCCACAGGACATTCTTGAAGTCTGCATAATCACCACACAGGGGACTATCCAGGCTTTGGAACCATTCGGGTTATATTGTGTGCAGTGCCGCTGGGCTCGGGTAGGTGCTTGTTTAGAGTAGTCTGAAAACGACAACATGGGCCCTGCACAGCGAGGCGTGTGGTTAGGGGCAGCACTCTTCGTGAGTGGTAATGGTGCTTGCAGACCTCATTGTACGTGCGGAGAGGATAGGATCACCTAGGAGATAACGCGTTACCCGGCATACGGTCAGTCAAACTTCGTGCAGCGAGTGCGCCTCCTCGTTCGGATTCATAGAAGCACCCTCAATGGTTCCAAGGTGTGCAGAAAACTCAATGAATTATTTTGGAGGTCTTTGACTTTTTTAAGGATCTCTAGGATCAGGGGAGCCACCATCCCCATTTAAGTTGCCTTGATAGCAGCCTTGGAGTCCGAATACATTGTGTCATGTACACCGTCCGTAAATGCAAGAACGATAGCAACCATCTTTGCAACACTGGAGGTAAGAGTGAAGATGGTAGCGCAGCTGATTACTTCAGAATCGCAGTCAACGGCGGCTGAAGAGAACGCTGCTTTTTTAGCGTTCGAAGCGACATCTACAAAGCAGGCTTGTTCCTTGCCCAAGCATGCACTGGCGAGCGCAGTTTTACTCCTTGGTCGTCTTCGGGCTTCGTTGTAGGTTGGATGCATATTGAGTGGCCTCCACTGTATGAAAATCTTGGAGCTTACTTCGTTGGGCCGCATCACAGCATCAAGACCGGCAATCGCGGGGTTGCCTCCCGGCATGCCGAGTATGACTCTACCCGCTGGGGTGTCGGACAGTCTGACAAACTGTGAAAACTCTTGGGCTTCGACAATTTCTTCGAATGTGTTGTGAATTCCCAGTTTGAGGAGGGCTTCCACTGGCGTTCGAACGGGGATGCCGCGGGTCAGCTTGAAGACTCTTTTGATTAGGACATTGATATTGTTGTGCTCTGACACGAGCCAGTTGTGCATAGCCGCTGAATAAGCGAAGTGGCATAGCACAAATACATGCATAATCCGGATCAGAATTTTCTCCCCGATTCTTCAGTGTGTTTGCGATTCTTCTCACCAACCTGAGAGCGCTTTCGGTCTTGGTACAAATGAACTTTATGGCGGCTCGATTGACTCCATTGAACTGGATAAACATTCCAAGGAACTTGATAGCGTCCAAACGTGGAACTGAATAGCCGTTACCGGTGAATAACCTGATGCGTCTCTATTTTTCTAGATTCCAGGACCGATCAAAACCGCCTCAAGGCCTCTTGTTTTAGAGTAAGAGCTCGGACTAAGCGGGCTAGCACCGTAGGCTGGTAGGGATGAGATAGCACTGAGTCAAATTGATGGCCTCTTGCGAAGCGCTCTTGATCTGACCCTTCAGTAAGGCACCAGATGGTGATTGATATCGTCGGCGTAGATTGTGTGGTTAATGTCTGTATCTTGTTCAAGGCCCTCGACCGGTTGATACTGAAAATATTGAAGAGCATGGAGGAGA